ACCAAAACAAAAAGTTAATTCTCTGAAAAACTGACAAATTGGGGCTGGGGTTGTGGCTCAGTGGTAGAGCACTCGTCTAGCGAGGCCCTGGATTCGATCCTCAGCACCACATAAAAATAATTAATTAATTWAATTTAATTAATTAAATTTAAGGAAAAAAAAAGATTGACAAATTAACAAATTTAGCTGGACACAAGTATTTAGCCCACACACAAGTATGACCTCAAATAGCTAAACTCAGAAATAAAAGAGGGATTGTTACTAACAACCTTACAGGAATGGTAAAAAAGATTAGAAAGGAATATGAACTGTATGCCAAACACATGAACAACTGTATGCCAACAAATTAGATAACTTAGATGAAATACACAAATTCTTAGAAATATACTAACTGTTAAAGCTGACTCAAAGCCTGGCATGGTGGCATGKACCTGTAGTTCCAGTTACTCAGGAGGCTGAGGCAAGAGAATGCTTGAGCCTGTGAGTTGGAGACAAGCTAGGGCAACATGGCAAGTCCCTGTCTCCAAAACTAACTCAAGAAGAAACAGAAAATCTAAATAAACTTATAACAATCAAATAGATTAAGTAGTCAAAGAACTTCCCCAAGTGCAAGGGCTGGGAGACAGCCTAGTAGGCACAAGGTCTTGGGTTCAGATGCTCAGCACCAAACCTGCTCCCCCTCAACAAAAACAAAAAACCAAAAGAATCTCTCACAAAGAAAGCTTCTAAAAAATATTCAAAGAATTCAAACCAACCTTCTCAAATTTTTCCAAATAACAGAGAAGAAGAGGAAAATTTCCTAACTCATTCAATAAGATCAGTATGATCCTCAAACCAAAACCAAGGACATCATTAAAAAAAAAAAAAAAACCTAGGGGTTAGGGTTGTGGATCAGTGGTAAAGTGCTCACCTAGCACATGCGAGGCCCTGGGTTCAATCTTCAGCACCACATAAATAAATAAATAAATAAATGAGCAAAATAAAGGCATAAATAGATAAATAAATATATTGTTCCAACTACAACTAAAATATAAATATTAAATAAATAAAATAAACCTATAGACCAATATCCCTTTTGAATAGATGCAAAAATACTCAGCAAAATACTGGTAAACTGAATATAGCAACATAAGGATTATAAACCATGACCAAGTGGAGTTTTTTGGTTTTGTTTTATTTGTTTTGAGATGAAGTCTGTGTTGTCTAGGCTGATCTCGAACTTCTGGGCTGAAGCTGTCTTCTTATCTCAGCCTCCTGAGAGAGCATTTGGGACTATAGACATGCATCATCACGTCCAGCTGACCAAGTGAGATTTATTCAGGGAATGCAATCTTGGTTCAACTTATGGAAATCACACCATATGAATATGATAAAGAAAAAAAATCACATGATCATTTCAATGAATATAGAAAAATCACAAAAAAAGTCAATATTTTTTCATGATAACAATACTCAATAAAACCAGGAATAAGTCAGGCACAGTGGCGCACACCTGTAATACCAGCTACTCACTTGGGAGGCTGAGGCAGGAAGATCACAAGTTCGAGACCAGCACAGGCAACTTGGCGATACCTGTCTCAAAATAAAATAAATAAATAAAAATAAAAACGAGCTGGGGATATAGCTCATTAGTAAAGAGCTTATGGGTTTAATCCCCAGTACTGAACAAACAAACAAACAGAAGTAGAGGGGAAATTTTTCAATCTGAAAAAAGGGCATTCGTGAAACCCCCCAGCTAATATCATTCATAATGGTGAAAAACTGAAAGCATTCCCTTTTAAGATAAGGAAAAAGAATGTATATTCTCATTGTACTTCTAGCCAGGGCAATTTTAGGTAAGAAAAAGAAATAAAAAGCATCTGTATTGTAAAGGAAGAAGGCAACTATCTCCATGTGCAGATGATATGATCTTATATATAGAAAATACTATAACTCTATTGGGCATGATGTTATACGCCTGTAATCTCAGCAACTCAAGAGGCTAATGGAAGAGAACTAAAAGTTGGAGGACAGGACTGGGGTTATGGCTCAGCGGTACAGCGCACGCCTCGAGTGTGCAAGGCACCGGGTTCAATCCTCAGCACCACATAAAAATAAATAAAATAAAATAAAAGAATTATGTACAACTACAACTAAAAAATAAATTTTTTAAAAAAAGTTGGAGGACAGCCTGGGTAACTTAGTAAGACCCTGTCTCAAAAATAAAAACTGCTAGGGATGTAGCTCAGTGGTAGTGTCCCTGGGTTCAATCTCTAGTACTGAAAAAAGAAAACAATATGATTCTACAAAATACAGATGTGGACAAATTGATCATCTTAATATTCATGTGGAATTGCAAGGGACACAGAATAGCCAAAACAATCTTGAAAAGAAGAATGTTGGAGAACCCAGATTTTCCAATTCCAAAATTTCTACTTTTCTAATCTTCAAAGGTTAGTTCAGAGGCTAGAAGGTGTAACTTAGTGGCAGAGGGTATATTAGCATGTTCAAAGTCCTAGGTTCAATCCCCAGCACCCTGCCAGTACAAAACTACATTAATCAAGACAATATGGTATTGGAATAAAAACAGACATATAGGACAGTGGATTAGAACTGGGGTCCAGAAATAAATCTATACATTTATAATCAACTGATTTTCAACAAGAGTGCTAGGACTAATCAAATGGGGATAATTTTTTAACAAATGGTGCTGGGACAACTAGATATCCACATGTAAAAGTATCAATCTGGACCTCCAACACTGTATACAAAAAATAACTCAATGAATCAAAGATCTAAATATAAGAGCTAAAACCATAGAATTCTTATATTAAAAAAAAGGTATATTGGATTCCATCAAAATTTAAAATTTGTGCACCAATGGGCATACATTAGTTTTCCAGGGCTTCTGTAACAAGTTGCCAAACTTGATAGCTGGAAAAAAAAAATCCAGAATTTTATTCTCATCCCAAATTTATTCTCAATTCAAAGAAGATATATAAATGGCCAATAAACACACGAAAAGATGTTAAACATAATTGGTCATTGGAGATAGGCAAATCAAAACAACAATAAATTATCACTTCCCACCCACTGGCATGGCTATAAAAAAAATGATGGACCATAACAAGGATTAATGAGGATGCAGAGAAATTGGAACCCTTATACAATACTGGTAGGGAATGTAAAAATGGAGCAGCTAGGGCTGGGGATGTGGCTCAAGCGGTAGGGCGCTTGCCTGGCATGCGTGYGGCCCGGGTTCGATCCTCAGCACCACATACAAACAAAGATGTTATGTCCGCCGAAAACTAACAAATAAATATTCAAAAATTCTTTAAAAAAAAAAATGGAGCAGCTACATGAAAAATAGTCTGGTAGTTACTTAAAAGTTTAAGCATAGGGCTGGGGATAGAGCTCAGTTGGTAGAGTGCCTCACATGCATAAGACCCTGGGTTCAATCCTCAGCACAGAAAAAAAAAATTTAAGCATAGTTATCACATGACCCAGAATTTCATTTCTAGATATATACCTCAGAGAACTAAAAATATAAATCTACACAAAAACTTGTATACTGGGCTTGGGCTGGGGCTCAGTGGTAGAGTGCCTGCCTTGCATGTATGAGGCACTGGGTTCAATCTTTAGCACCACATAAAAATAAAGAAAGAAAGATATTGTGTCCATCTATAACCAAAAAAAAAAACAAAACAAAACAAAACAACTTGTATGCTAATGTTAAAAGCAGATTTATGTATAAAAGCTCCAAAGCTGAAACAATCCATATGTCATATAAACTGATAGATCAACAAAATATGGTACAGCCATATAATGGAATATTATTTCACCACATAATAAAAGTAATAGTTACCTKCTTCCACGTGGATAGATCTAGATAATATTATGTTAAAGAAACCAATCACAAAGGACTATATATCATATGATCCCATTTATATGAAATGTTCAGAATAGGCAAATCAACAGATTCCAAGAAGAATAGGACCTGGCAATAGGGAAGATGAAGTGGAAGATTGTGACTGCTGATGGATTTTATTTTGGTTTGGATATGAAGTATCCCCAAAAGCTCTTATATTAATGCGGGTATGTCGAGAGGTGAAATGATTGGATTCTGAGAGCTGTAACCTAATCAGTCCAACCTAGTTTGAATGGACTGGATGGTAACTGTAGGCAGGTGGGGCATGGCTGGAGGAGGTAGTCACTGGGGATGTGCCCTGGAAGGATGCATTTTCCCTAAGGCCCCTTCCTCACTCTCTGTTTTCTGACCCTGCCATGAGCTGAGCAGTTTTCCTCCATTGAATCCCTCCTCCAGGTGCTAGCTCACCTCATGCACAAAGCAATAGAGTGGGCTGTCTATGCACTAAAACCTCTGAAATTGTGAGCCCCAAATAAACTTTTCCTCCTCTTGTTGGGTATTTTGGTCATAGCAACAAAAAAGCTAAAACAGAAATTAGGGGCCTGGGGTTGTGGCTCAGTGGTAGAACACTCACCTAGCATGTGTGAGGCTCTGGGTTCGATCCCCAGCACCACATTAATCTAAATAAATAAAATAAAGGTATTGTGTCCAACTATAAATTATATATATATATATTTACATACATATATTTTTTTTAAAAGGAAAAGTTAGTACTGGTAATGGGTTTGTTGTTGTAACTAACTTGACTATGTGGTTTAGAAACCTTTGGAAATGGTTTGTGAAAGGAATTTTGAAAAGTTTGAAGATTCAGGCTAGAAAAGTTTTAGAATGTTGTATGTAGAGTTTAATTAGTGATTTTGGTGGGGGCTCAGAAGACCAGAATGGCAACAGAAATGCACACTGTGCTCATGAGGTTTCAAAGGGAATGAGGACTCTATTGTGAATTGAACTAGAGGCTACTAGTGTTATATTCTGGCAAAGAACTTGGCTACATTTTGCCCATATCATGGGACTTTACATGGGGCTGAATTTAAAAGTGATGGACTAATTAATCTGGCAGAGGAAATTTCAAGGCACCATAGCATTTTATCAGTGGCATGAATATTATTGGCAGCTTTTAGCCAGATGGCAATAGAAAACAGAATTTAAGAATTTTAAAAACTTGAAGTCTGGCCAAAAAAGTGTTTGTAAAGCTGAGGCCAAGAAATGTATGCTTGTTGAAGAGATTACAGACCCTAAAGACACACTAAGTACTTTGCACAGAGACAACAGAAAAGATGCCTCAAGAGCATTTTAGGAACTGGCAAGACCACACCCACCTTAGGCTCCTGGGTGTAAAATTACAAATTCCTTTGATAAGAGATCATCCTTTTGCCCTACTGCTTGCACAGGAGGGCCTAGGAAGTTGTTTCACCATGCTGAACCATGTAGGTACTCAGAGGTACCTGCAGCCATGATACCAGGGGTCCCAGATACTGTGTGATCTGGTGGCAGACCTTGGCATCATCAATGTGGTGCTGGTTCTACAGGAATGCAGGATGTTCTAAGCAGTCATGGAGGTTTCTACCAAGATTTGAAAGGAAGGCCTCACATCGCAGGCAAAGTATAGCAGTGTTGGAGTCCTTATGGGCTGTTCTTAAGAAGGTAATGCATGAAGTTGTAAAGGTGAGGCCAAAATCCCTACAGGCTGCTGCTGACGGGGTGATGTGTGAGAGGGTGATGGTTGGTGAGGCCAACTAGGCTAAAAAGGAGCCCTTGTGCACTACAACTGGTTAAGTCCAAGGGCCTTTGGAAATAGGGATATTTTCACATCTAGAAGCCATGTGTCCTACATTCTATACATGGACCTGTTTGCTTGGCTAGGTTTCTGGTCTTTTTTTTTTTTTTGGTACCCGGGATTGAATCCACGGGCACTTAATCACTAAGTTGCTTAGGGCCTCACTAAGTTGCTGAGGCTGGCTTTGAACTCAAGATTCTCTTGCCTCAGCCTTCCAAGCCACTGGGATTATAGGTGGGCACCAGCACGCCCAGCCCCCATTCCATCTTTTATGTCCCTATTCCTTCCTTTTGGAATGGGAATATTTACTCAAATATTTTGACTTCACCTTTACACTGTGACACTGTATATTAGGTGTGTGTAAGTTGCTTTCAGTTTTTATAGGGGCTTACAGCAAGAGTTTGTCTTGAGTCTCAGAGGAGACTTTGGACTTGGACTTTTGGACACTGCTAAGACCATGAGAATCAAGATGAACTAAATGCATTTTGCTCTGTGAAATGGACATGAGCTTTTGGGGATCAGGGTAGAATATTATTGTTTAAATATGAGATGCCTCCCCCCAAAAGCTCCTGTAACAATGTAGGAACATTTTGGAGGTGAACTGAATTATGACAGCTGTGACCTATAATCAGTCCATCTTGGTTTGAATGTGCTGGAGTTGGTAACTATAAGCAGTGGGGGTGTGGTTGGAGGAGGTGGGTCACTTGAGGCATGCCCTAGAAGAATGCACTTTCCCTGCAGTTTCTTCTCCCCCTCTGGTTCCTGACCCTGCCATAAGCTGAGAAGTTTTCCTCCACTGAGCCTTTCCTCCATGATGTGCTGCCTTCCCTTATGCCTAACTAATGCAGTCAGCTGTCTATGGACCAAGAGCTCTGAAATTATAAGCCCCAAATAAACTTTTTCCTCCTTTAAGTTGTTCTTGTTGGGTATTTTGGCCACAGTGATGAAAAAGCTAACTAAAATTGATTTCTTTTGGATGAGGAAAGTGTTCTAAAATTAGGCTGTGAAAATAGCTGCACAACTCTGTCAATATATTAAACAACACTGAATTGTACACTTTAAAGGGGTGAATTGCATGGTATATGAATTACATTTCTATAAAGCTGTTAAAAATAAAAAATGAAAAAGCATTTCATATTTGAACAAATCAAAAGAAAACTGTGGTAGCTATCTTAATATTAAAGAAAATTTCAGAGCAAAAAATATTACCAGACACAAAGGTCATTTCATAACAAAAAGGAGTTCAATAAATCAGAGCATAATAATCCTATCTACTTATGCTCCTAGTAACTTAGCTTCAATATACATAAAGCAAAAACTAATATAATAGAACTAAAGAAATAAATAGTTGGGGCTGGGGTTGTGGCTCAGTGGTAGAATGTGTGAGGCACTGGGTTCAATCCTTAGCCCCACATAAAAATGTAATAAAGAGGGCTGGGGATGTGGCTCAAGTGGTAGCACGCTCACCTGGCATGCATGTGGCCCAGGTTTGATCCTCAGCACCACATACAAAACAAAGATGTTGTGTCTGCCAAAAACTAAAAAATAAATATTAAAATTCTCTCTCTCTCTCTAAAAAAAAAAATGTAATAAAGATATTTTATCTACCTAAAACTAAAAAATAAATATTAAAAAAAAGAAATAGTCAAACCTATAATTATGGTTGGAGATTTTTTAAAACTATATTTTATTAGGTGTTGATGGATCTTTATTTTATTTATTTATTTATATGCAATGCTGAGGATTGAACTCAATGCCTCACACCTGCTAGGAAAGTGCTCTACCACTGAGCTACAACCCCAGCCCTATAGTTGGAGATTTTAATATTCCTCTCTCAATAATTGATAGAACAGATAAGAAAATCAGTGAGAATACAGAAGACATGAACAACACAATCAAGTTGGTCTACTGGGCATTAATACAGCACTCTACCCAAAACAACAAAACATTCTTTTCAAATATACATAGAACAAATACCAAGTGCTCTACCACTGAGCTATAATCTTAGTCCCAAGGAATTTTTTGTTTTAAAGAAAAGTCACAAGCCTATACAAAAGAATACTTGAGATAAATAGCTGCCAATCAAAATAATGAGCTATCATAGAAGTTGTTTTTTAAAAATTATTTTGAAAAATATCACATCTTAGTTCATTTTAGCCCAAACATGCTATTCAGTAAGGAAATATTCAACATGAAAATAATAAATGAAAACAAAAAAGGCAAACATTGGCACCTAAATCATTATTTTGTCACTGGGATATTTTCAATTATTTACTTTTGTCTAAAGGTAAACTATTGAGGAAAAAAATAAACAAAAACAAAAACCCTCAAGCTTTGATTTTACATAAATTACTTAGAAGCAAAAACTGAAAGAAGCAAAAATTGAACTTAGTATCTTTAAGTTACTGCTGTTACTAAGCATTAGAACTACAAATTTAAAGATTTAAATAAAAATCTTCCTAGAGGGCTGGGGCTGTAGCTCAGTGGTGGAGTACTTGCCTAGCATGTGTGAGGCACTGGGTTCAATCCTCAGCGGCACATAAAAATAAATAAATAAAATAAAGATGTGTCCATCTACAACAAAAAATATTTTTWAAAATCTTTCTAGAAATATATGTTACATTCTTTTGTTTTGCTTTGTTTTGTACTGGAGATTGAACCCAGGGCCTCATACCTACTAGGCAAGTGCTCTACCACTAAATCAGAGCTACATCTTCCCCATCTACCTTTTTTGGACAAAGTCTCACTAAATTGCCCAGGCTGACTCCTAACCTGCAATTCTCCTGCCTCAGCCTCCTAACTATCTGGGATTGAAAGTGTATACCACCATGCCCGCTTATATTTGTTCTTTAATGTCAATTTCCTTCCTCTAGATGTGAGAATTACTAGAAAGTTTATGGAAGGGAAAGGTAGTTAAAAACTGAATTGTAATTTTTCTTAGATGTTAAAAATTGAATGGAACTTAAGGTCACACATGTAAAAATGCTGAAATGTTTTAATTATTTTTTACTCATTTCTACTTCAAATATAAACCCAATTGAATTTCTGCCTCTAAATAAATGTGGATCTGAAATATACATCAAACCATAGGAATAACGATATTTAGTTTCTACCTGAAAAAGATCCAAAAGAGGCTTCCAAGACAACATTAAGACTGCTGCTCTGTTGATAGTTTTAGGAATTTCAGAATAAAATAGTGTATTTTCTCTGTTTTCACCAGACATGGCTAAGGGAAAAAAAATAATTTATTATTATGTTTTCAAATAGCATTCTCACTACAATTACAGTAAAGCATATGAAGCCTTCTATACACTGCAATACTTTACAGTCTGTGGGACCTAAAATAAATATTAATATGTAGGATATGCAAGTGCCATATGCCTTAGAAATTTCTTCAATAAAAATGAAGTTTCACAGAAAAATGCTTTAAGTTTCATTTTGATATTCAGATCTTAATTCCCCTCTAACAAAATAATCATCAAAGCATATAAAATGATATTAGGAGAGTTAAGACAAATACCATTTTCAAATTAAAAAAAATTAGTTTGTTAAAAGTTGGCAATAGACTCACGGGATTCCACTGTGACAACTCCAGATTACTAAAGTTCTTTTTTCTGAATTATCTATTTGGAAATAAACACAGATCTAACAATTCTAGCTTTTCTTCATTATAAAAAATTCTGATTGTAATCATTAATACAGCCTTTGGTGTTTCAAATAAAAGTATATTTTACACTTTTATAATATACTCAGCAACTACAACTCTATACTTACCAAGATAATAGATCCTATCTGAATGAGGCCCATCTGGATCATTCCTCTTCACAAACATAAAATCATGTGGTGCCTTAGCCATCATGTAGCCATGATATTTTCTGGTATCAGCAAGCAGCTTTTTAAGCTGACTCCAGGAATATCGCTCAACATAAAACGGCTCCAGTTTAGGCTGATCCTGTGATTCAATATTCTCCTCACACTCTGCAGTCTCAAATATCTCAACACCCAGCTGTTCTGTTTCCATTGCTGCTGCCATGTTGCATTTTTCTAGAAAAATAAGGCACATGAAGCTCTTTACAGGGCTGTCTTATATTATCAGAATGACAGTCTGACAGGGGCAAAACCAGATAAAACCATTAAGAAAAAATGCTGCAATGAAACCTAGTAAGCAATAGCTCCCACTTCTCTGTGCTCGGTTCAAAATGAGATTATTTTAAAAATTGAGGTCATGTCAATTTCACAGTTACTATAAATCCCTATGGGAACTTTTATAAAAGGCTCTCCTTAGATATCTCTTGCCAAATTCCTTTTTCTTTCCCACACTGGAAACAAACAGGCCATATGCCAATTGGCTGCTATGCTCCACCCAAGAACATGTCAATAGTGAAGCTAAATGTGCCAAGGGAGTTGGGGATTTTTGCATTTAAAAAGGTAACACATTTGACAACTGTGAATTTCTCCAACTAGCAGAATAATCCCAACTGGAACAGTAATAACACTGTCACAAACAATGTCCTTGTAATAATCTTCCTAGGGCACTTACCCAAAGAAAGTGTAAATATTGTTTCCTTTTAAATGGAATTCTAAACAACAAAATACTTAACTGGCTGGTATGAATCTTTTGTGCAACCCTAGACATCACTATCATATATACTTGAGATGATTAATATCTCAAAGAAACTTACATGACTATGATTATACATTATCTAACTTATGCTTTGTTTAAATGAGAAAGATACTATTCTTAAGTGGCTTTAGTTAAAGTAGTTGTAGAAAGCATTTAATATTTATATCAATATTTTGATAAAAATTTGGACACAAATTTACTAGTTTGACCCCCAAAGCATTAATATTTCATACACTAACACTTATTTTTCAAATGTCAAAAACATGTGGGCTTGGACATAACAAAATTGTACTTATTAAACCATATTTCACATAACTATTAAATACTTCTAAATGGCTGTGTTTGTAAGATGATGCATTTTTTTAAGCTCAATTTCTGATAAGAAGTAACTTATGAGAAAAAGTTATTAGCAGGTATGGGCTGTGAATAAGTCCATTAGGTATGGAATACTGGCTTGAAAATGAATTGAACTGTGTGCCCAAGATATTGTTATTTTCTTTTTACCCTGAACTGTATTACCATTTTCAAAGTAACAATAGCAAAAGTAGACAGAAAACTCATTAGTTACATCAGATATATTTATAATATTATTACAACTAGGTATTCATATCCAACAATTAAAATACAAAAACAGCTCAGCTGATTAAGTCAGTTAGCTCAACTGGTATGTAACACACTGATATTTGTGAGGTAGATTATAACAATGGTTGTTTGACCATCTAAAATCTAGTGGAGGCCTATTTCTACCAAATGTGTCAATGAATCTAGTTTTATATCTAATGGAATGATGGACAAGTGAGAGAATCTACACAAATTTTGCTCATTTCACATGTGTTAAATTTAGAATTTGGTCTCCAAAACACTGCTTGTAAGCATAGGGCTAGGAATAGAACAGAGAATCTTAATAGTAAAACTTCTCAAGCTTTATTGCTCAGTTTCTTGGATCATTATGTAAAAGATGCATCAGCTTATATATAAGTTAAAATCAACAGGTATATTTCTGAATTGTACTAGCTCCCTAGACTGTTTCTCTCTATATACATACATAMATATACACATGTGCACACTGTAGAATTCAAATGACATTCTGCCACTCTGTATATTTACAGCCAATGTTTATTCCACCCTTTCTAGGACAGACCTGGCATTATGGTAGCCATTTACACAAATGTTTATAATTGATTTAACTTCCAGAACTCCCTAATACCTTGTATAGAATTACATTCTCAAAATGTGCGGCCTGAATTTCTAAAGTCAGCATAGTCTCTACAAAGTGCATACTTTTCATTGCCCCACCTACCTCTTTACTTATGGACCTTCCCTGGTGCCTATCTGATTGTATTTTCATCTGCTCAGATCTCTTCCACATTCAGAGATCATTTTCAAGTGCCCCAACTTCAAGCACAGATCCCCGCACTTATCCTGCTCTCTTCTCAGAGGACTCTTTCCTTTTCTCACCATCCAATCCTGCTCACCAGGATAATATAAGACTCTTGGTCATTATTAAAACAGACCATATGTAGTCAAAAAAAGATTAAGTATAAAAAGTTCCAAAATAGCACTTAAAACTGAGAACTTTTTGATGTAATATATGCCCAAATTACTGTCTGTAATTATCAAAATCCTAAATTATTTTCCGATATGGTATAGCCCAATTTACTCAAAAGAATATCCTAATAGTAGTGTAAACCTTGATGTTCAGACATACATTAAAGGGAATTATGGAAGAGCTAAAAAAGTATAGAGGGCATGCAGATGTGAAGTTACTGGCTGACAGAATAGATCACTGGTAGAGCTTTTGCCCTGAGGTGGACCCCCAGCCTAGTCCAAAAAAAAAAAAAAAAAAAATCAGATGAGGTTTCTATTACAAAGCCTCAAAAAATGGCAGATATAAAATTTCTATGTGCCTATTCCTGTGCCTCTTTTATCTAATAATGTCATGGTTAGAGACAAAAATCAATTCAGTAGGATTAATAGGAAGAACTATAGGCCACTTTTTTTTTTTTTTTTGCAGAAAGGGAACTAACTTGAATTTACTAATTTAAGATTTTCCATAAGATAAAGAATGTCCTACTCATTTAAAGTGCAGTCCATTTTTCTTTTCCTTACCACAAGATTGAGAATAATTGAAACGGGCAACTTTTCTGGAAAAAGAATCATTACGCTTGTTGAAAAAAAAATCTATGATTACAAATGATACTTTGTTAACAGTTTTAATTCTGGGCTCCCATAGCTCAAGTAGGTGAAGATGAGAGAGGTGGTGAGAAAAGTGGCAAGTGGAGAAAAAGTTATGCTAGCACAGCAACAACAGGATAAGTAAGATGTCAAGACACCTCCCCATAGCACTAAACCCCCACCCCCATTCAAATAAGGGTGTTGAGTTAGAGAACTAAAGGGCTCTAGAGTTTGGACCTATTCAAATGGCATTCCACAAACAGTCGCCCATTTCAACATGCCACGGCTCACCGAAGCCTAGATATTTCACTCTTCAGGGTCCACGGCTACTCGAAAAAATCATAATTACAGAAGGGGCCAAAATCTTGAAAACAACGAATAGGAAAATGAGAAGTACAGATGCTGAGAAGATGGGCTGGAAGGATAAAAAGTGTTAAGAAAAAGTGTGAGGAAGTTGGACAGGACAGTATCCTGAAGCGGGTGGTTGGAACAAAAACCGACCTAGAGTGAAGCAGTAGGGAAAAAAGAACACCAGCTGGGAAACCAGAAAATCTGAGTCCCAAGCCCATCTGCCACGGTCGGACTTTAGGCAAATCCCTTCGCCTCTGTGAGCTTCCGTTTCCTTATCTGTGAGCACAGACAGTACCCGGCCTCCCAAACCCAGAGAGGCTCAATTAAGATAACGGACGTGGAAGTCCGGAGGGCAGCACCCAGCGCTCAGGAGCGCCTGGTGAACGTTGGCTGACTCGGAATCTGAGTCTCGGCTTCCTCTTCCGGCAAATGGGGCCCCGCCACCGGCTCAACCCCGCGCGGGCGGCTCCTCGGCGAGGCGGACAGGGCCCGTGGGCAGAGGCCCAGGCCTCGCGGGCGAAGGGGAAGGAGAAGGGGGCGGATACTGCACCTTCCCCCCCGGCCCCGCCCGGACCGTCCTGACGCGCGCGCGCGCTACGGAGCGGGCCTGCGCCGCTTCATGCCGCGCCGCCTCCACTCCGGGCCGGGCTACAGCAGCTTCCTCGGCGGCGGCGCCGGTTGCAACCCAGACGGCGGACGCGGCACTTAAAAGCGGAGGACGCGACACTTAGGGGCGGCGGACACGGTACTAAAAGGCGGCGGCAGCAGCCCCAGCACTTCCGGTTCCTCGAGACCCGACCTCCGACTTGGGGAGGCGCGGTCTGACGAAGAAGGACACTGCTCCCAAAATGGTGGGATTCTCACCACAGTGCCGTCTAGGGGCCGGAGGAGCAAAGGAGGCGCGGGAAGTCGGGGAGAGCAGAGATGAAATCCAAAAGGGGCAGCGACTTGCTTTTTATGACGAACCTCTTAACCATTCGTTCTTTTCACTTAAACATATTGGGTAGACAAAAATCCCTGTCCATTATCAGGCAAAGTTGTAGAGGCTGGGATTGGATGAGGAAGCAAACCCAGCAAAAATCTCTGCCCCTTCATGGAGGTGACATGGAGAAGAGACTAAGGCGATGGAGACATGAGTGCCACATAGTTGTGGCAACCTGAACTTGAATTCAGAAAATTTGGTCCTAATATTAGTGTACTCCAGTAGGTCAATCTCTGGGCCATGGTTCTTTATCTGTAAAAGGGATATAACGCATATTTCTGAATTGCAATTAAAGAAAATTATCACACTAACACATAAAAATGAATCCGGGCACGGTGGCACAATCCTGTAATCCCAGAGGCTCGGGAGGCTAAAGCAAGGAAGATCGGGTGTTCAAAGCCAGCCTTAGTAAGTTAGCAAGGCCATAAGCAACTCAGGGAGAACCTGTCTCAAAATAAAATATAAAAAGGGGCTGGGGATGTGGCTCAGTGGTTAAGGGCCCCTGAGTTCAATCTCCAGTACCAAAAAAAAAAAAAGCAACATTCCTTAATCCACAATTTATTTGTCTATACTATACGTTGGCTAAGAGAACGAGAAAAAGGGAACCTAAAGAGATGACTAGGACGCTCGCCTACCATGTGGGAGGCACTGGGTTCGATCCTCAGCACCACATAAATGTAAGAGATGACTAGGAAAATAGTAAGTACAGAATGAAATAGTGGGAAAACTGAGCCTCTCCTATTTTCTATAACTACAAAGAACTTTGTGTCATAGTGGTATGCCATGAGGATTCATTGTAATAGCACTAATAAAAGATCCATTTGAGCACCTGTTCCACTCTATAGTATGTAAATATTCACTCTGAGGTTAATCAAGCCTTCACTCAGCTTTCTTTAAGCTCCCTAAAAGAAAGTGCAGTTATTTTCTCTGGGTATCCCTTATAAATTTTCACTGTGACCACAGAGCAGATTTTAAGGCTTTAAATGCACACACATATACTAACAAAATACAATGAAATACCTCATACTTCATTTGTTCATCCAATATATGTTTATTAAATCTCTATCATGTACTTTCGCTTTTCTAAATGATGAGGCCACAAGTAGTGAACAAAACGGACAAAATCCCTGTTTCTGTGCAGTTTATTTTATTTATTTATTTTTCCAGGTTTCAAATGCATTTTTTATTCACTATTTTTGATGACTATAAATAAGTGTTTCCACTATGGAAAAGAAAGTTAGCACAGTACATTTTCATGACTGGGGAATGGATTTTCTCAAGTCATCTTCAATAAGGTAAAAACTTAAGAAAAAAAACCTGAATGTTGGAAATCAGTTCTTTATATAAAATCCTTATGAAAACATAACAATAAAAATAAACCCAAAAGGAAGGGCAGGTCAAAATTTTAAAAAGGAAAAGAAAAAGGAAAAGAAATTAAGACGACTCATTGCTTCTCCGATTTCTCCTCGGTCTCCTCTCCAGGTTCCTTGTTCTCCTCCTTCACAGAAAGAGCTTCCAGCTTTTCGGTCACTTTTTCAGCATTATCATTTTTGCCCAGTCCTTTCTTTTCTCTCTCTTCAATCGCTTTCCTGCATTCTTCAAACTTTGTTTTGAATTTTTGTGCATTCTCAGCGTTTAGGAAGCGGATGGCGAGCAGCTCTGGCTTAGGGTACTYATCAGCAACGTCAGCATGGGTGTTCCAAACCCAGGCACGGTCGCTGCCGGCGTTTGGCTTCAGTTCCATCCATCGTTGGYGTGATATAGTGGTTGGCGCATATCTTCAGGGTCTTGTCCCTCCTCATGAGAAGGCTGATGGTTCCTTTCTCCTKATGTTTCAGGAGCTTGACATCATCAGTGCCTCCCTTCTTCCATTCTGGAAGATCATTCTCTGAAGCAAATCAAAGTAGCTTTGCTCGCATCTTTAAAAGTTCCTCTTCATCTTCCTCCAGCGTTTTAATTTCTTGCTCAGGGAGCGAAACTATAGGCTCAATCTGGGGGTCGTGATTGGACTCATCTGCATTCTCAGTAGAGGTATCATGGTCCTGATGAGGGTCGCCCCCAGATCCCGCTAGCCTTGACTCCACAGGCCTCRAGCCCCCAGGCCCCGCGCGCTCCGGCCCCTAGCTCCACAGGCCGCCAGGGGTTGGTGGCGGAGGCACAGGCCGCCCGCCCACGTGGCCGCCCATAGCGGCCCCAGCCCCTTCTCTGTGCAGTTTATATGCTACTAAAAAGAGATATGATCTCCCTCCCCTGAAAAGCAAACAATATGTGACTTCGTGGATTCAAAAAAAAGAGCCCCAAAGAGGTAAAAGACTTGCTTAAGTCATATGGCTAATTATGAACTCATCTAGATTTGAATTTAGATTTCTTAGTTTTCAGTCTCATTTGTTCTATGATCGGTTTAAAAACCCTCAAATGACCTGGTAGTGTAGTTCAGTGATAGTGCACTTAGTATATGTGACGCCCTGAGTTCAATCTGTAGCACAAAAATAAACAATTTCTCAAACTCTGAGAAAGCTGTAGGTGACATCTTTACACGGCTCACTAGCATGGAGGCTGTCACAAAACACTTCTCCTTGCAGTTTCTGAGAAATCTGTGACTTTCTGTTCTCCTCTCCTCAATAGTGCTGCAGAATATAAAAACCACTTAGCAGCAATCTAGAATTGATTGTTCACTTATGGGGTATCCCACAACTCACATTGCAGTCATCTGGCCTCTTTTATTTCAGCATTGTTTATTTTTTGGTGTGTAGGACAAGAACCTCAGGGAGCTGGTACCATTGTGCATTCTTCATCTTGCTGTATATGTAAGTAACAAACTGGATCTAAAAGTGGCTTGTTTTGTCTTTACCAGCTGAATCAGTTAGGCCTTGATCTTGCCAAATCATATATGGGTGTGTGACAAAGCCTAGCTTGCTTTATGCTGCCCTGCATTGTTGGTATTCAATAGGAAAAGGCAAGTTATCTAGCATAAGAGGTGTGGATAAGGTAGCATAGCAGGGCTGATACAATCCACCCCTGCTGCAGACTGAAACAAATCACAAAGCATAACAACTCAGTCATATTCTAGCAAAAAAGGACAGCCAGCAGATAAGTGTGAGTGAGAAGTAAGGTGGTCAGGCCAAGTGAGAAACATTCCTGGGAAACCTAGCTGCATCCTGAAGCCAGGGTAATTTCAGGTAATCAGGCTATTTACCATCCAGCTCTGGTCTTATGTTCTAGGGACTTGGTCTGACAACCTTACACACTGGATCTCCATCAGAGATCAACTTGACTCTGCAAGATCCAGCAGCCCATGATTTCTAGGCAGTGGTACACACATTTTTTTTTCTTTTAAAAATTTTTTTTGGTGCACACATTTAATAGACTAAATTCCTGGAGTCAGACTGGCTTCTCTCCTCAACAGAGTGATATAGGGCCTTTCTAAGCTGTATTTCCCTTATCTGTAAAATGAGAATAGTAACACTGTTGAAATGAATGAATAAAATAATACATTTAAAGTGATTTGCAATGACTTGTGTATAATAGGCATTCCATTGATTGACTGATTGATTTTGATAGTGAGGATTAAACCTAGGACCTTGTGTATGATAGGCAAGTGCTGTATCACTAAACTATATGCCTACTCTATTTTTTAAGTTTAAAAATTTTTGGAGGGCTGGGATTGTGGCTCAGCGGTAGAGTGCTCTCCTGGCACGTGCGAGACCCTGGATTCGATACTCAGCACCACATAAAAATAAATATATAAAATAAAGGTATTGTGTCCAATTGCAACTAAAAAATAAAATATTTAAAAAAWTTTTTTTTGGTACCAGGAATGGAATCAGGAGTGCCTAACCACTGAACTATGTCCCAGCCCATTTTTTTTTTTTTTTTTTTTAATTTTGAAACCGTCTCACTGAGTTGCTTAAGGCCTCACTAAATTGCTGAGGCTAGCCTTGAATTTGTGATCCTCCTGCCTCAGGCTCCAAGTAACTGGTCTTACAGATATGCACCACTAGGCATGGCATTTTATTTATTTATTTTTGGTGTAGGGATTGAACCCAGGGGTGCTTAACCACGAAGCCAGCCCTTTTAAATATTTTATTTAGAGACAGAGTCTCACTGAGTTGCTAAATGACTCAAAAATTGCTGAGGCTGACTTTGAACTCTTAATCCTCCTGCCTCAGCTGGGATTATAGAGTGCACCATCACAATGGACTCCATTTATTAATTTTATATATTAATGATGGTGAGGATAGTGTCGAAGATAACAGTAAAATGCTTTTCTCCAGAGAATGCAAAAAACAGGAGGACTAGGTGTATACCTCAGATCCAGTATTGTGGCTGGGGCTACTGGGTGGGGGAGCTCATTCTGACTCTATTGTTCAGTGCATAAACACATATACACAGGCTCAGGGCTGGGGCTATGGCTCAATGGTAGAGTGTGTGCCTAGCAGGCGTGAGGCCTTGGGTTCAATTCCTAGTACTGTAAACAACAACAACAACAACAAAAAATGGGAGGGACTTAAAAGATGATTGATCTTAATTCTTTTATTTCACAGAAAGGACAACAAAAGCCCAGAGAGAGAGCAGCCCAAAGTCATACAGCTATTTATTGGCAGCTCTTAGGTACAACTCCCAATCAATCAGCAAAATGTACCCAGTGGTACACCCCAGTAATCCCAGTGGCTCAGGAGGCTAAGGCAGGAGGATTGCAAGTTCAAAGCCAGCCTCAGCAATTTAGCAAGGCACTAAGCAACTCAGTGAGACCCTGTCTCTAAATGAAATACAAAGAAGGGCTGGGGATGTGGCTCAGTGGTTAAGTGACCCTAAATTCAATCCCCAGTACCAAAAACAAAACAAAACAAAAAAAGTACTGATTTCTGCAGGGAGCCATCTGTGAAAAACACATGAGGATCTTCTGTTGGCATGAAGCCAAGGAGATCTGAGGTTCAACCTTGGGAACTATCTGTGGCTCTCCCACACAATAGATTGCCCAAGGCACATGACCTTTATCTTCCCTGTACTAGGAAGATCTCTCATGGTCACTCCAGAGATGGGCATAACCTGTTGGGAACTGGACAGCCCACCTTTAATCTTTCTTAGAGAAGAACATTCTATGGAAGGCCTTTGATGTCCCCCCGATATAAATAAAGCAGGTGTGGGCTCCATCTTGCCAGAGTATAGAAGCTCAATCCCTATGATGGGCTTGCCTGTCCCACCCCTGATTTTTGAAATTATTTTCTGTGTCCTGAGATTTTTTTTTCATTGTTCTATTTTTCCTAGCTTTTATTTCTCAGCCAGTCTATTCCACCAACGGGAACCCCATTCACACCACCTGCACAGGATGTGAGCAGATTTCTTCCTGGATTTAGGAAATGACCTAGACCAAAGGAGGAGAAAACTCTGGGAACCCTGGCTTCCCAGAGAGGCATACCCAAAGCTGCATGCACTTCCATCTAACAACAACAGTCTTCAATTTTGATTTTAGTCTAAACACAACTTTTTGACATCATTAAAGAAAAATCTACCAATGACTCTACCACTCTATCATAACTTTATTGTGTTGTATACGTATTTTACATGTGTAGCAAAAGTAATATTTTCAAGTCACATTCAGAGGCTACATACATTTAATTTTCTTAGTTTTTCTTAGTTCAATCCAAACTGTATTCATACAGTTTGTATTTCTAACAATAGAAAGTATAAGTTTGGTCCTTTCCAGGAAAACCTTTTCAATTCAGGATCCCCTCATTGAAGTGGATGTAGCCAATCCCTGGTTCACACCAGAATCTCCTAAAATGTCTTGTGTTACAGGAATACTGGATTAAATAGTATCCCTCTCCCAAATTCATGTCTACATATAACATGAGAATGTAACCTTATTTGGAAGTAGGATCTTTGGAGATGTAAGTAGTTAAGATGAGATAACCTGGGATTAGAATGCATCCTAAATTCAATGACTAATATTATTATAAGAAGTCCAAGAGACACAGGCATACAGAGAAAACCATATGACCTGGATAGTTGTTTCCACAAGCCAAAGAACAACAAAGATAACCAGCAATCACCAGAATTTAGGAAAAGGCAAGGAAGATTCTTCCCTAGAGCCTTCAGAGGGAGATTGACCCTGCCAACACTTTAATTTTGGCTGCTAGCCTCTAGAACTCTGAGAGACTAAATTTCTTTTGATTAATTGATTGATTTCTATGATGCTGAGTATTGAACCCAGGCCTTCTGCCACAGAGCTACATCCCTGACCCTCTTTTGCTTTAAGCCACCCAGTTAGTGACACTTTATTATGGATGCCCTAGGAAAGTAATATGCCAGCTATTACTCACATGTGACATCTCCCCACCAGGACACACCCACTGATATATCTGTCACCCATCAGACTCTAATTATCAGTTCACACTGTCTATTCCTCTTTGTCCCAACTGCTGGCCCTTCCAAATGCTCTTTTGCACCTACACCTACACCCATGGAGGCTCAGGCCCTCTGTTGCCAAACCCTCAACATCCCATCTCCACTTGCTGCTGTTATAGTAGGGTATTGCTTCCTTAGGACCTTGCATAAATACCAGTGTATGAGCACATATCTTTTCTTTCCCTAGATCCCCAAACTTGTCACAGGGTTAAGAAGGTTCTATCATTTCAACAGCTTGGGAGAAGCCATCAGAAGGAGGTACAGACAAGACCCAGGTTCCTTTGCAGGGGGACTCTATTACTTCCATTTTAACTTTCTTCTCTCTTCTTTACTTGGCAAATTTGTATTTAGTCTGCATGTGATTCAAAATATTTTCTGTCTTACACATGCAACTGGGCTTAAATAAGAAGCATCTGATATCCCTGTTCTCTGGCCCCACTATTACAACTTCTGAAAAGCAGTGGCTGCCTCCTGCCAGCTCTCTAAATTGAAAAGTATCAGGATTATAAAGGAAGAAAACAGGGGCTGGGGTTGTATTTCAGTGGTAAAGCATTTGCCTAGCACATGGGAGACACTAGGTTTGACCCTCAGCCCACACAAAAATAAATAAAATAAAGGTGTTGTGTCTATCTACAACCAAAAAAAATTTTTTAAAAAGGAAGAAAACACAAGATGCTTACCACTATATAATGTTGTAATAGCAATTTTATATTTTTAAAATCAGGCAGCTTCCTCACCTTGCACACTGGTTAGTTTTCCACTACATTAGTGTGTTATAATTCATTTGTCATTCTCCTTGTGCGGTTTCCAGTGTTTCATCATAGACATCTACAGAACTCTTTCTTTTTTTAAAAAAAAAATTTTTAGTTGTATTTGGACACAAAACCTTTATTTTATTTTATTTTATTTTTTATTTTTATGTGGTGCTGAGGATTGAACCCAGTGCCTTGCACGTACTAGGTGAGTGCTCTACCACTGAGCCAAAACCCCTGCCCCAACACAACTCTTTCTTTCTTGAGATTATTTTTCTTAGAATAAAATCTCCAAAAAGGAAATTATTAGGCCAGCCAGCATAAGGATTACTATTTTTTCTTGTTACATACTATAAAATTATTTTCCAAAATGATTTCACAAATTTTGGGGGATGTGGCTCAAGCCGTAGCGCGTACGCCTGGCATGCGTGCGGCCCGGGTTCAATCCTCAGCACCACATACAAACAAAAATGTTGTGTCTGACGAAAACTAAAAAATAAATATTAAAAAAATGGGGCTGGGGTTGTGGCTCAGCAGTAGAGCCTTTCCCTAGCATGTGTGAGGCCCTGGGTTTGATCCTCAGCACCACATAAAAATAAATAAATAAAATAAAGATAATGTGTCCAACTACAACTAAAAAATAAATATTTTAAAAATAAATAAATAAATTGATCAAAACATTTTATAAATCTGCTTAGTACCTGTTAAAGCTAAACACACCTACCCTATGACCTAGCAATTCTAGTTGTATTTACCCAAGATAATTAATTAAGCACATCTATCACCAAAAGACAGGCATATAAATGTTCATAGCAGGTTTATTTATAAACCTGGGAATATAAATGGGAAACCACACAAATGCCCATCATCAGAGCATGGATAACTAATGTGTGGTATAGTCATACAATTAACTGCTACACAGGGGAAAAAAACGAATGAACTAATTCGCACAACTTGGTAAAACTGATGCACATTGTGTTTAATGAAAGAAGTCAGATCCAAAAGTTGCACTTACTGTAGATTCAATTTATTTTTATTTTTGAAAAAGCAAAAACAAAAAATATATATTAGAAGGGGAGTTACTGGATCATATGATATTTGTCCTTTTATTTTTTATGCATTACAATTCTTATTATACATATAGAGCACAATTTTTCATATCTTTGTATATAAAGTATCTCWCGCCAATTCATGCCTTTATACATGTACTTTTTTTTGCATTACAATTCTTATGACACATATATACCACAATTTTTCATATCTCTGTTTGTATATAAAGTATGTTGACACCCAATTTGAGTCTTCCAACATGTACTTTGGATAATGTAGATTTAATTTATATGAAATTCAAGAGTAGACAAAAACCACTTTATGATGATCTGCCAAGACACTAATTATTGGAGGGAGAATGAAAGGCAAAGGTATACTGACATTAGGTAACTTCTGGAATACTGGAAATGTTCCAGATTTTGATTTGGGTGATAATTACATTATAAACATTTGTAGAAATTCATCTTAAGATGATTATTTAAGATTTGCCCATTTCAAAAATATTTGCCCATCTTGTACCTTAACATTTTTTAATATTTATTTTTTAGTTGTACTTGGACACAATACCTTTATTTATTTATTTATTTATTTATTTTTTTATGTGGTGCTGAGGATCAAACCCAACGCCTCCCATGTGCTAGGTGAGTGCTCTACCACTGAGCCCCAGCCCCAGCTCTATGCCTTAACTTTTAAAAAAGTGCCCTGTAATGGATCTGCTTTGTAGTGGAGGCAGTGCAACAAAGGTACTTTCATCATTTCAAATAATCTTAATTTTTAAATTCAAGGCTATCCAGGTTCCTGCTTTCCCTAGCTCATACCAGATAGCATCAGCTTCCAACTGGTTTGCTGTTACCAATTTCTTGCCACTGACAGGCTGTCTTGCTGAGCAGGTTTGATTTTATCTCCTGTGTAGCAAACTTCCTTGGTTCCCATGTGTTGGAGGATTACAGGACAAACTCCTGCCTGAAGTGAAGACTTTTCTAATCATGCCCTAGCTGTCTTTTATGATTGAGGGCAACCTCTTTTCTCCATGCCCTTATTCCCAGGCCCACAGAACCTCCCACATCTTTTCACTTTTGGACTTGTAACCACTGCCCTACCTGTGCTGTTCTGTCAATTCCTCACATTTCATGGTCCAGCTCTCAAAGATTTGCCCTTAAACTTTCAATCACAGTTCCCAGCTCTTTGTGAATTCAGCCCATTTATCATATAAAATCTTCTTTATTTCATATTACCTATCCATTAAGCTAAGTGTTTTCTGGAGCTGGTGTGACTTCTCTTTATGGCTGGATTACTACACTAAGAAATAAATCAGAGTTAAAAAGAACCAAATTTCATTTTTTTGGTCCCAGACTTCTAGTTTTCATAAAAATATTGCTTCATATTAAATTCTTCACTGCAGAAGAACTTGGGGATGAAAGTGGACAGGTGAGATAGATAGTTAAATAAAACATCAATTGGGCTGGGGTTGGGGCTCAGTGGTAGAGCACTTGCCTAGCATGTGTGAGGCATTGGGTTTATTCTCAGCACTGCATATAAATAAAATAAAGGTCTATTGACAACTAAAAAATATTTTTAAAAAACAAGACATAAATTAAGGCGGGTGCGGTGGTGTACGCCTGTGATTCCTAGCTACTCTGGAGGCTGAGGCAGGAGGATCCCAAGTTGGAGGCCATCTAAAATAAAATTAATAGGGCTGGGGGTGTATCACAGTGGTAGAGCATCCTGGGTTGAATCCCCAGTAGAGCATAACAAAACAAAAAAGACACGATCTCCTGTATTGTCCAATCGAATAGTTATCAGTCATATGTAGCTATTTAACTATTAAGTAAAATAAAAAAATTCAACTCCTCAGTCTCCCCAGCCACATTCTTCTAAGTGTTCAAAAACTTCCTGTGGTAAGTGGCTTCTTGTGAACACACAGTGGAATATTTCCATCATTGCAGGCAGTTCTTTTGGACAGCACCGCAAACCTCTGGTCTCTCTCCCTCTGGAATAAGACTCTGTTCCCAAACCGCTTCCATAGTCTCCATTATCATTGTATACAGGTTCGTAATTACTTGGGTCTTTTAACAGACTGAGGGTTCTAAGCCTGCAGAGACCATCTTATCTGCTGCTGTTTCAGTGTTTGGCTTTGAAGCCCAGGCTCGCATAGGCGCTCAGTAAAGGCTGAATTAAAGAATGACAGAATGATAGGAACCTTCCAGCAATATCAGTCCCAAGCTTTTTACCCATGCTGACTGATCCTCTATAAGTCTATGGGCCTTTTCATTCTTTAGCTTTTTTTTTTTTTTTCCTTTTCAGGCTTAAGCGCCCTGTAGAACCGCGGAAACGCAGAGCAGCTGCAGATACCAGCTTCAGGGCATCCGGAACATGCGGCTTGGTCTGTGTGCCAGGGTCGGCCCTTCCCACCGCCTCCTCGCCCGGCTCGCCCCGCCCCTTCCCGCCCCCGTCCCACCCCCACCCTTCCCGCCGGTAACTGCGCAGGCGCGGCCCGAGAGCTTGGGGCGTCTGGAGGCTGCCAGGCTGCGGGCGCTCGGGAGTGCGGGTGTTTGCGGCCTGCGTTCGGCCAGCTCCATCCGCTCACTACCTGAAGCAGCGAGGCACAGCGAGCCGAGCCTCCCCGCTCCCTGGGCTCTATGGCCATGGAGAATCAGGTGCTGACGCCTCACGTCTACTGGGCTCAGCGACATCGCGAGCTGTATCTGCGCGTGGAGCTGAGTGACGTGCAGGTAAAAGACCGGGTCCGGCGGCGGGAAGCGCGCGGGATCGCGGCTCCGGGTACCCGCCGGAGCCGCCGCCCCCTTTGTCCGAGTGCGCGCCGGAGAACCTGCAGTGCGCCAGAGAGATCGGTGCGCTCACGGCGTGTGGGCCTTTTTCTAGGCTCACCCTCAGATCCCGGCTCCAGCGCACGACCCCCCCCCCCAGGGTTGCAGATGCCTTTGGGTGCTCTGTGAGCCCGGCACCGGACTCGGAGGCTACCCTGGGCTCCTTTGTTCGCGCTCAACGGCCTGGTGGAGCCCAAGCTGGAGGCCTGGCCGTCGGGGTTCGAAGTTGGCTGAGGCCCTTAGAGAGACGTATTATGAGCTCGTTGGGTCTGAGGTGCGCTGTGACAGTGGCTTTCTGGGCCGTGACTGGATGTCCAGCGCTGGCCTGAGAAGTCCAGTCAGGCCCTTCAGACGTTCTCAAGATTCCCCACCTCCTGGGAGGCGCACACCCCTCCTTACCGTTCAGTGATGGAAATCATAATTTTAAAATTTGCAAGACCTCGAGAAAGTGATCCTCTCGCTCTTTTTTGAAGCCTGTGAATTTAGGTTTGCTAAGTTGCGTAGAGAACATAAAGATTATCTTAAGTTACATTAAACATTTACGTTTGATCTCTTTGACTCCTTAATGTGAGCAAGCCAAAGCCCCCTGTTAGTGAAGAGTCCAGGGCTTGTGAACCCCTACATCTCTAAACAAACCATCCAGGGTTCAGTTCTTTAAGGAACTGGAGTTTTTGATCTGGAATGTTCTTTCTACAGTCATCATTAATCCCAATCTCTTTGACATCTATGGCACTTCTCTTAAATTTTTTTTTTTTTTAGTTGTAGATAGACAAATACCTTTATTTATTTATTTTTATGTGGTGCTGTGAATCCAACCCAGTGCTTCACAAGTATTAGGTAAGTGCTGTACCACTGAGCCACAACCCGGCCCATTGATGGAACTTTGTAACCCCATTCCCTCCATTGAGCTCTCTTCCTCTGAATCAGGCTTTTTTTTTTTTTTTTTTTTTGATATATCAGTTCGCCTGGCATGTTTTCTTGCAAAGTGTAGGTGCTTCTGAGTGTTGAAGTGAATTTGTTGAATTTAATCCTTGATTGTGGAACATAAACCTGTTTTCCTCTTGAAAGATGAAGATAATGCTTGTCAGAATGCCTTTAAGTAGGCTATGGCATTGCATGGTGTGTCATTTAATATGTTCAACCAAACTGAATTATATTTTTCCATCTGAGGGTGAGTAAATATTATGTGCTGTCTTCTTCTACTCTGCTTTAAGGTGTTTCCTGAAGTAGAAAAAATAAAATCTTTTGTAGATGAGGATCAAAGTTCTCAACTAGAGAGTTCTTCCAACAATCAATTAAAAAAGTACAGAACGTGTGTTATGATAGTCCCTCTAAGTATTCATTAAGCAGTAGGTAAACCAAATTAAATAAACTCAGGCCCTGTTCTCTCTAAATGCATATTATGGCATGTTTTTGAATCCACAAGAAAAAAGATATTTTTAAAGGGAAGGGGTGATGACAGAAAGAAATGGAAATTAGTGAGACAAATGAAAAAATGCACCATACTTATAATTTTCTTGAAAGATCTAAACCTCTTAGTTAAGAAACATGAACAGGTGTTAATCATAGTTGATATATTTAGAAGTTTAGAGTTACATGTTTCAAATATGTAACAGTGAAAAAACACAAAGTTGGAGAAAAGCGTATTCTTTTTTTTTTTTTTTTTTTTGGAGAATTAAATCTTTTTTTTTTTTTAAATTTTTTTGGGAAAAAAGTCTTTTTTTCCCCCCAGTTGTTTTTATTTATTTATTTTTTTTATGGACTTTCACATCTGTGATTCTGAAGCATTCGTTTCAACTACCATTAGTTTAAAAACAACATGTTAATCCCATTCATAAAAGAAAAAATAAAATCCTCTACCATGTACAAGATATTACAGATTTACAAAGATAAGTCGGATAGACTTTGACTTTTTCAAGGCACTCTATCTAGAAGGAAGCATGTTATCATATAAAAGCAGAAAGGTTTGTTCATGGGTTTGTTGGTAGAATTGGAGTTGGATGTTGAACCAGGTTCTTACTGTTAAAATGTTTTTTTTTTTTTTTAAACCTCTTTCATTTAGTTAGTTTCAGAAATGAGATGTATTCTTATCCAGCTGGTACTGGGAGAACTTTCCAGCAAGAGAAAGGGTATAGATTTTCAGATACTTGTAATTCTGACATACTGTGTCAATGCTCTACAGTCAAAGAATACTAGGAATGCACCTGTGTTTAAACAAGTTGGGTTTATTATTACTCCCGGCAGCAAGGGAGAGCACACACCATGAGGAATGGTGTGTCTCATTAAGAGGATATTTGAACTGATTGTAGAATTTGGGCTTCTGTGATTTGGGGCTGGTTTAAGGAAGTGAGGGTTCAATATAGATTAAATGCTGTCATAAAATAGGGGCATTTCTGTGGTTGGGCATCTGAATAAATCTTATCTGTAAGAAGGAATATCTAGCCCAAGAATAAAACATGTATATCGTAGAGAAGTATGACTCCATTCAGCCAAGAGAGAGAGGATATTTGATATTCTGTGGGTGGCATAGTGACCACGTGTTCGTCTGTGCTTATGAAAAATTTAAGAAATGGTCTTTGTTTCATCAAGTTTTCAGAGTAATCTTGTCTGAGATTGGTATTCTGTGAGATAGTTTGTGTCTGATAAGATAATGACTTGGTCTAGCTGGAAGAGCTGTTGAAATATTTGCTCATTTACCAAGGCCTTTGTTTGTTTTAGTTGTATGTGGACAAAGTGCATAGCCCTGGGAGCCATTTGACAGAAACTATTCTTGCCTACATCTAACAGGGAGTCTGGTGGAAAAAGTGGTAACTGCAGGCATGAGATTGGGTCCTTGCTCTTCACTTGCTATCTGGTGACCATAGATAATGCACTTAACCTTTGTGAGCCTCAGTCTCTTCATTCAAATAAAAGTGAGTGTTAACACCCAATTCACAGGTCTCTTTTGAAGTTGAATTGGATAATGGATTTGAAAGTGTTTTGTAAATTCTAGTGTGCTATTCAAGTGTGAGGGATTAGTCTAATTGTGATACTAAGTCTTAGATGAGAGGGCCAGACACTAAGAACAATGGAACAGAATAGTCTATTAGCAGACCTATCTATACATGAGAAATTGTACGACCAAAATGGCCTTGCACATTAAGGGAAAAGCCCTTTGGGAAATTGGACTGGGAGAATTGGTCATCCAAATGGCAAAAAGATAAAATAAGATCCTGCCTTAAGCTATACACAAAAATCAGTTTCAGGTGACTTGAATGCATGAAGAAAGACTACTAAAATATAGGAGACTATCTTTGTGATATTGGATTAGGGAAAAGTGTCTTTAAACCCTAAAGATAAAGATTGACAAATAAGACCAACTTGAAGAAGATATTTGCACCATATATAACTGACAAATGACTAGCACCTTGACTATTTAAAGAACACCTACAGATGAGTAAGAAAATGATGTATTTATTAAGAAAAAAAGGGCAGATTATATAAACAGTTCAGAGTAAAAGGGTACATGAAGAGTCAATAAACTTGAAAAAAGATGCTTAATCTCAGTTATAATCAGACAGGTAATTAAAAACATAGGATACTGTGTTCTTTCTTTCTTTCTTTCTTTCTTTCTTTCTTTCTTTCTTTCTTTCTTTCTTTCTTTCTTTCTTGTTTTGTGGTGCTGGGGATTGAACCCACGGATACTATTATTTCTTACATTAGATTTGGAAAAATGAGAAAGTCTGACATTGCTAATTGTGAGGATATTTAGTGTTGAAACTTTTTTATACGGTTGGTATGATGGGAATATTTATTGAAATAATTGATTTGGAGAATAGTTTGGCTCTCTCAAGTCAAGTTGAAGATGTGCATATCCTTATGACTTGGAAGTTTGCTCCTTAGAGAAGCTCTTACACGTATGCACAAGTAGATAGAATGTTAGTTGCAACACAGAATTGAAAACAGCCTCAATTTTTATCAATAGGAGAAGGGATAAATTGTGGTACGTTTGCACAGTGGTGCACTATACAACAGCTAAAATGAATGAAATGGATCCACCTATCTATACAGTTAAAGCTTTTAAATAGCTCAAAAAACAAGTTGAAGACTAATATAGGCTGTATGAAATTATTTATGTAAACATATAATGCTGTTATATAATACCTATATCTAAGTACTAGATATCTTTATGAATATTCAACATGTTATTAAGTGAATAAAGAAATAGAGTGGGGATGATAAACTCYAGTTCTAAATAATGATAACTTGCAAGGATGGGATGTATTAGAGGGAGAGAGGGCAGTTGTTATGGTTTAGATGTGGTGTCCCCAAAAGCTCACTTGTGAGATAGTGCAAGGTTTGGAGGAGAATTGATTGGGTTATAGCCTTAAACCTGATCAGTGAATTAATCCCTGATGGGATTAACTGAGTGATAACTGGAGGCTGGTGGGGTGTGGCTGGAGGAAATAGTTTATCGGGGGCATGGCTATGGGTATATATTTTGTATTTGAAGAGTGGGGTCTTTCTCTGCTTTCTCATCTTCATGTGAGTTGCTTCCCTCTGCCACACTCTTCTGCCATGTTGTTCTGCCTCACCTCGAGCCCTGAGGAATGAAGCCTCTGTCTATGGATTGAGGCCTCTGAAATCATGAGCCCCCAAATAAACCTTTCTTCCTCTACAGTTGTTCTGGTTAGGTTGGTTAGGTTTTTTCATCATAGCAGTGAAAAAAACTGACTAAAACAGCAGTAATTTTGTAACTGCATTCATAATGAAAAGACCCCCGTTTCCCTGTCCAAGGAGAATCACACGAAACACTGGCTGCAATAAGCAAGAGGTGATTTATTGGGACACAGGCGCCTGCGGGTGCCCAGCAGAACCTCAGCCGGAGCTTTGGTGAGCTGGCACACCAGGCTTGGGGATACAGA